TAGATACATTGGGATAATCACCTGTCCAGGCGATTCCGATACCTGCAACTAACTTCCGTTCAGCACCAACGATGTGGTGATATGAACAACCATCAATGTATACCCACGGTAGTGGTCGACAGTATTCCTCGTCATAAACTTTATAAGGGGATAGCAGTTGCTCTTCTAGGAAGTCATCTCCGGTGTCATTATCATCCAGAGATGGAGCAGTACAGTGATGTAATTCTGCTAAACCTTGGGCAACTGGGCTTCTCTTATTATGTTTATAACGGACTTCTAACGGCCATCCCTGTAAGGATAGAGTCCATGCAGTAATCCGACTGTTAGAGAGATTACCGTCTCTAATTCTTTCACTCTGCAGATACTGTAGAGGTTGGTGAGCTGTTTCTACAATTATTTTCTCACCTTGGATATAGCTACGAAAATTTTGTAGTGCCCAGACAGTCGACAATAACGCCTTCTCACACGTGTTGAATTTAACTTCAACAGGTGACAAAGTCTTGCTAGCATATGCAATAACTTTGTTTAAACTGTCCTGCTTCTGATACAGAACAGCACTTATGCTTAAATCGGTATATCCTGTCTCCAGATAGAAGGGTTTACCCCCCTCTGGGTATGCTAAACAGGGTGCCTGAGTGAGCTTCCTCCTCAGTTCACTTACCGCTTGGTCCTGAGGCTCCCCCCAGTTCCAGGTAGTTTCCTTTTTAAGCAGGTGTAAGAGTGGTTTAGTTATTTCTGCATAGTTATCTATAAACTTACGGGAGTAGTTAGTCATACCAAGGAACGATCTTAATTCCCTGATGTTTGAAGGTGTTTTAGCCTTTAGTACGGCTTCAACCTTCTTCCTCTGGGGATTTAATCCTTCAGAAGTTACCTCATGTCCGAGGAAATTGACATGGGTGCGACACCATTGTGCCTTTTGTAAAGACAGTTTAATCCCTGCCTCTCTTAACTGAGTGAGAACATGTCTAATCTCTAAGATATGCTTATCAAAGGAAGTGCTTTTCAGCAAGACATCGTCGACATATGATAACGTTCCTCTCTCGAGTGCGTCAGGCATAGCTTTGTGCATGAACACAGCGAATTCATGACCAGAGTTTATGTAACCGAAAGGCATACGGGTCCAGGTATACTGCTGCTTTCCAAATGTGAAGGCCAATTTGTATTGGTCTTCATAATGGACTGGTACAGTCCAATATCCCTGCGCACAGTCAATGGCAGTGAATATTTTGGATCCCTGCATTTGTACCAAACATTGGTCTATGTATGGTGTTGGCCAACCAGACATATAGACGCGTTTATTTAGCTGTCGTAAGTCAGCGCATAAACGCCATTGTCCATTAGGTTTCAGAATCCCCAAGATCGGATTATTATACGAACTGTGCACTGGACGTATAATGCCCCTTTCCTTTAAATTCTGAATGATGTCTTGTAGACCATCATATGATGCTAATGGGAGTCTATATTGTTTGATAAATACAGGTGGTAAATTTGGATCAGTTTGTATTCTGGCTACGTGGAGGTTAGTTAACCCACAGTCGTAGGAATCTTTGGCAAAAATATCTTGGAATTCCAAAAGGACTTCCTTTAGCTGCTGTCGCTCAGCATCATTGGAGCAACCGTCAGCTAAAGATATTTGCTCTTCTAGCCTTTCCTGAAATCCTGGAAAGATTTCAGGCTGGCCTATCTCATAAGCTTCTTCAAGCCTAGAAGTTAGGTCAGTTCGGTGTTGACTTACCTTTTCTCTTTGGTCGAGATACTCTTGTGATTCCTGCTCATTGAGCGGATGATCGAAGGTAATAGATGCTTCTTCGATTTTACACGAGCCTTCTTCGACGTTGAAGGGATACACAGATAGGATAGTGAATAATCCTTCTGGGGAGGAATGGAATATTTGATCGACAATTTCGTCCTCAGTTAAGTATTCTTCAGGGATGAGGCCTATAATTTGGTTTTGGAAACCAAATGTATAGTACTCAGCATCCAATGCTAGACCTAATAATGTTCCTTTTGGTAAAGTAACACTATTGGGTGTAACATTGTTGACCATGATATAGGTGGGATTCTTACCAATACTTACCATTGGTGTATGTGTTACCACCATCCCTAATTGTTGTATCCTGTTGGATAAACAGATTAGGGCATCAGAGTTTTCCAATCTCTGACCCTCCTTGACCTGTAGGGGTAAAAGAAAATTACTTGTCCCCTGTGGAATGGTTATGTCATCAGGAACTTGGATACTTACCGCATATGGGAGTATTTGTCCTGATTTCAGGCGTTTTCCTCGTGTAGGTATCCACAAGGATTACCTTTTAACCTTGTCCACAAGTTGGAATTAATCAGGTCAAGGTGTATGGCAAAGCGATGTATGACATCATTGCCAACGTAAACCTGATAGCGAGGTTCGTCTATCACTAGGAATAAATGTTTAACTGTCTTATTTCCGATGGAAATAGATAGTAAACACTTTGCTATCACATTGTGACTCTCTGATTCGCCATCCAGATTCTGGATCCACCTGTCATGTGGGGAAGCGTACCTGATCATTTTAGGATTAGCGATCTGCTTTAACAGACTTCTGCTAATATAGCTGTTCTCACTCTGTAAGTCCAGCTTTGCATTCCTACTTCTTCCTAAGTCATGTATTTGCATAGGAAAGAATAAATTGTTATTAACCCTTTCAATTCTGGCAAGGAATTGAGCATGACCTGCCAGATCTACAGATTCAACATAGTCCCTGTGGAGAGAGATGGTTAAAACATCACCTTCCAGAGAGACATTCTGGATCCTCTCTGGAGCAATTCTTACGGAATGCTCATCTACAGGTGCGATTGCATCATTCACCTGCAGGATAGTCACGTCAGGTGACTGACTATTTCTAAAATGTACCTCAATCGAGTCAGGTCTTTCTTCTATCACATGGCAGTTACGATCAGATTGTACATGTGATTTCTCATAGGTTATGGGAACCTTAGCTTGTGACCATACAATTCCATTCACACAGTCAATAATTGTGTTAAGTCTTCTGAGTATATCTATACCCAGAATCAGTCGGTCATAGGGGAGATCTACCACTATCACCGGGTGTCTAAAGGTTTTGTTACCTATTTTAAACTTTAACCATGTATTGCCAATAACATGAAGGGCATTTCCTCCTACACTCAACAGAGCATTGGGGAAATCTCTTAGCTTCGGCTTATCCGTTGCTAAGTCCATTACCTGCTGGAAGTAGGTATTGGATAAGATAGTGGCTTGTGAACCAGTATCTATTAACCCTTTAAAAGGCTGGGGTAGCGAATCCTGTATTTCTACAGACATGTAGTACCTTCCTTCATGTTCTTCTAATTCACATAAGAATTTAGAATGTGTCAACATATTACTTGTTTTCCATACATTACCGGTCACAGCAGTAGTTTCTACCTGTACTGAGGAATGCTCAGTCTTACCCACAGGCCCATCCTTTTTAGGAACATCTTGAACTGTCAAGCGGGAACTAGTGGTCGGCATCTCATCAGTTAACCCTTTCAGGTCTGGATCCTGGAAACTAGTGGCTGCTGGGGCTACTTTAGCCTTTGGCTGAAATGAAAAAACAGAGGAACACGTTGCGCCTCCTTCACCCGGAAGTGAAGTGACGGGATAGGCAATAGGTTTTCTAACACAACTATTGTTTGTTTGACTGTTAGTACCTGGAAAGGAAACAGGGTTAGGTATTACATCTACTGATAACCTAGCCTGTTTAGTCACAGTGGCTATTATTGCTGCGGCACCTGTTGTTGTTGCTGCGGTTGCACAGGTAGTTCTGCAATTGGAGCTATCCCTAAAAAAGGATTTCTGGCAAAGACTTCGTTAATCTTTGTCATTCCCTCCATTAATTTGCCCATCTGGTCTGTCAATTGACCAACCTGACGACGCAAATTATTTCCCCCATTGCCGTTTTGTCTTTGCCCATTAGAATTTGGTTGGGATGGCTGAGACTGTTGGGAGTTACTGGAAGCAGATTGGTTATTTCTGTTTCCATATCTCCTATTTCCCTGAGGAATCCTTCTCCATTGGGAATTGCCTTGGTTCTTATTAACCCAGGGGCGTTTATTCCCATTGGTATTGGATTTTTCAGAGTTATTGGAGGAATTTGCAGAATTGCTTCTGGCATTTTCCTGTTTCTGAGGTCTTGGAGATTTCAAAACCTCGGAATAGGTCCTCCTTTTCTGTTGGGGTTCTAAACCTAACTGAATTTTAGTCTCTGACACCATTTTATCACCAGGTTTCTTAACCTTTGGCTGATTTTCGTCATGTGCATGGTGTATAGTGTACAATTTCATGCACTGACTGACTAGCCATTCTAATGGTAACTTACAATCGTAATCTCTTGCGAGATTCATTTGTATGTTTACCGGCATGGCATGAAAATACAGATCTTTGAAGTCTGTGCTTTCATACCTGGGTTTTCTTTGGGCCACGGAGTATGCATTTTTAAGAATTATTAAAAATTCTCTGGGGCTTTGATCTGGACGGCACTTTAAGTTATAAAGCGCCTTCTTTGCAGAAGCAATGGTTTTATACTTACCATATTCCATGATTATTTCATATTTCATCTTGGACCAGGACATTAACTGTATAGCTTGAAGACTTTCTAGATAAACATGACACATTGAATCAAAGGTCCATGTAATGAACCATTTCTTATGAATGTCATCATACATGCCCAATGAATTCATTGCTCTATCATAATTTTCCAGATGTTCAGATATGTTTCCTGAACCTCTAGAAAATTGTGGGACAGTCTCTCTAAGGAATTTGATGACCTTTGGTGTTTCATAAACAGGCGTCGTTGATTTACGATCTCTGTTTCTGTGTTTGGGTAAACGTCTATGCGATCTGTCTGCTGAAGAGGAATTAGACCCATACAACAGCGCAGATGGCATATCAGTTACATGGCCTTCAGAGTGGATAGTGCAATCACTTTCACTCCCATCACTCTGAGCTTCTTGTTCACTGTCACAATTCTGATCAGCATCAGAATCCTGCCAGTGTACAGAACCATGTCTGTTTTCATTCCTATCACCTTGAATTGGACTCTCTCTGTCAAGCATGGCCAGGACAGTCTTTTCAAACTGTTCTGCCCATGATTGCCAAGAACCTACAGGTGTTTTCTCAGAATTACTCACCTCTTTACTTACAGACTGTTTTATGAAAACCTGGTTTGGTCTGGGAAAATCATAATAAGGAGGGGATTTACAAATAGTCTTTTCTTGCATTTTTGTGCAACTTTTTGGCACAGAATGATGACTACCAACCTCACTGTCTAATTTCTGACTCTCCTTTTCATACTCATCCAATTGCATTTTAAGCTGATTTATTTCCTGTGCACATTTATCCATCAAAGCTTTCATTTCTTTTTCATGATCAGCCTGACGAGTTTTATGCTCAGCAAGTAAATCTTGGTATTTCCCATTTTGAATGCCCAGATCGTCACTGTACGTGTCCAATTTGGCATTCAGTGACTTGTTTTCATCACACACCTTAAGAAGTGCTGTCATAAAGAAAGGCCAAGAGTGTATTATGAACGCCATTTTCCTTTCTATGTTCTTTTGTTCAGCAATTTCTTTAAGATATATGATGATGTGTTCATCAGTTAGAATGGTTTGTTTAGCTTCCCATTCTATGCTTTTCAACCAAACCTCATAGGTTGCATCATTTTTCATATGTTTATGAATATGAACTAGAGCATGTTTTCTTAGGTCTTCAATTATTTCAGTATTATCTGTTACAGATTTATCACTGCCACTGGCCATTTTTATTTTTATTTTATTGATTAATCTCAATACAAAACTCTTTTCTATATTAAGATTAAATTGCATGAATTACACCAATATTATTATTATATATGAAATACAATTTCAACTTAAACGATCTCAGCACCGTGCCTCCAATATGTGGGGATATTTATGGGATAATAATAGTAACAGTGAGAATTGCCCACTATTTCAATTCTCAGATCCCAAAGAACGTTTATCGTGTTAAGTGAAATGTATTTCATATAATAATATCACAATGTATAAAAATAGATTTTTATTTATAATGACAAATTAATAATAATATATGTAACATGCATGACAATAATCAATGAATATTCAGTATAAAATGGTATGCAATACAAAGGAATGGGTATTACGTTTCAATGGCTTAACGGCATTATCTGTCAAGACTTCTACGATTTATGAGGTATCCTTAACACAGGCTGAAAGTGAAACTTTTCACACAGAGAACAGAATTCCTCAGAGTGCAGCATAAGGTCGTAAAGTTTAGCAGACAGTTAGAATAACCCTTTCAATGCTGGCTAGATCTCCTAGGTAGTTAAGATCTATTCTTATGTAATTTTTAAATAAAATAACATTTAAACCAGAGAATCTACTACATTATATAAGCAGGTTTTTAATTTGTCTAAAAGATATCTATCTTAATTTAGAGCAAATCAATACACCTGGATAAAAACAGCGGTATGCTAACACGTGATAATATCACATCAATATATAATTATTCTTAATTCCACCTGCAGAATGGAATGTTTATAACTATATATTCTTAGTTAACTAAGATTTCTTAATATGGAAATCTGACCGTGCTTTATCCAGTCATATATAATGCTATTAATACATTTTAATTAATTTAATTTAATTAAATGAAACCAGTATAATTACCAGTTGAGTAGATATTTCATCCGATTGGTAGTCTCAGGAATTTATTTGGATGTGTCTCTGCATGGAGGTTGGAGTCCCCAAACTTCCAATTCCTCTCTTTTCTCTCCTTTGCATATCTTGCATCTGCCTCCTTCGTCTTGTCTCTATCTTCCCTTTGTCTTAACTTTTAAAGGGCCAGACTCTCTGTACGTCATCAGTTGATAACCCAATAGAAGCACTAGAGGTGTGGTTATCTTCCAGATCGCAAATTAGTTATTTGGTCTGTAGAGGGCAGTCTTGTCCCACTAAACATACCTATCCAGGAAAGAGTTAACTTTTCCTGGTGGCTATTTTGACGTCATTTTGCGTTATCTTTATAGCGCCATAATTTAAAATTTCAAAGGGTTTCTTAAATTTTGTCCAGACTTAGCGTCTGCAATTCCTGCCATAATTTCTGATATGACAGATCATGAACTAAGTTTACCCTTTTCCATACAATGGTACCTTATATATATAGACAGTTAAATATTAAATTATTTAATCTTCTCTGTCACAATTGTCTGGGTTTAGATTTGGTTATATTCCATTAGCATTAGACAGTCTGTCCAACCCCCTTCCTTATCACTTGTTTGTATATACTATGCATTCCTCAGATCTGGGAAAGTGGTTAGCTTACAGATAGAAATATAGTGTCTTTTTGTTAACTTGAAATAACAAAATGGAGTCTGATCTGTTCAGAGTGACTCAGAATATACACTTTTAGTTTCTATCATAGCACAAAATGTCTGCCGATATAAATACCCTGACAATGTGCTATTCAAAACATGTTTAATTGTAAAAAGGGTAAAGAATCACTTTATATAAAAAGCATAAAATACAGTTATCATATTTCTGAATATCAAATGGTATACATTAAGTCACACCGCCTACAATAAGTATTAAGAATAACATATGATTCACAAACTCTATCTAGTAAACAACAGATGAAATTGAGAAGCTAATTTTAATGGATATATGCGTAGACTATCGTGTTTCTGGTATGAAAAAAATACATTTGTAGCCGTGTCATTTTAAAAATGATTGAAAATAGGAAATGAGCTGCAATTCAAGGAGAATTATCAAGGAGAATGGAACCAGGAAGAAAATGTAACAGTAGTATGCTGTATATGTACTGATCAAGGCATGTATCTAATATGCCCAATCAGAACATCATGGGAGTCTTAGAAGATACAGTGGCAGGTGTTCCCTAGCCCTGTGTCCAGTGAATGGGAGGGCTTTCTATCAAGATTAGCTCACAATGCACTTGGGTGATTCCCTTCTGAAGTCAATGAGATGGACATTGGTTCACTTCTAAATTGAATAAGGGTTATTAAACTCAGTGTTTAATTCCTGGGTACTATGGATAAATCTCAGACTGTTGATCTCTTCATCTAAGGTTGCCAGTGTTCCATTGCACATACATAAATTAAGAAAATCGCAACCCCAGGAAAAATGTCAAGAAAACTGGTATTTATTCCATTATAATGTGAGCCCATCAACATTTTCACGATTCCATTGTTCCACTGCAGACAGGTAAATTATTTTCAGACATTCTCAGATAATTTTCACAACTAAGACATGAATATTGCATTTCAGGTCATATGCGAGATTTGGACCTCACTGACCTCTACTAAGTCTCTGGTTTAGTTTCCTGAATAGACAAGAAGAAGGAGCTGTCTCAGCTGTGTCATTGTGTTAGAAAAAAAGAAGCACTGTACAGCAGCTAAAACTGGCAATTAACAAACATTGATATCAGCACTGGCACTCATGACGTGATAATGTACAAAATTAAAGGGTACCTGACAAATACAACTTAATCTTAAATGATAGAGAAACAAATTTAATATATATATAGTGTGCTAGAAAATGTCTACATTTCCCTATAATCAGAGGTTACATTTAACCCTTTCCCTCTCCTCTCAGTCAGGTCAGTTTGTGCCGAGCCTGTACCGATTAGCACAAGAAGACAACGCTCTACATTTCTGTTATCAGGGAAACTCTCCTCTGTGTGTCTCTACTGCTTGCTAGCAATTCTTGCAAGAGGAAGTATAGAGGAAAGGAAGGCTCTGTATGAGAGCAGCACCACGGAAATAGGAGTGAAAAAGCCAGAACGACTTATTGCAGCAGACTTGGACAGAATGGAGAGAGAGAACAGATAAACTTTGGGAACTTTTAACCTGCTATGTAAAGCAAGTCTGTGCATCACAAACAGGAATATGCAGGAGAGGTGTGTCTTACTGCAAGTGTAACACCCACTCAAAACATGATTGATACTTTCAACAGGAGATGGGGTAATGGAACTAAGTTAAAAAATGTGCTTTTAATAGTATTAAGGGAAGAAACACTTAAATGCATAACAGCGGCAAAGCTATATGGTTAGAAAATTGCAAGCTTATATCTGTGATAACATGTTCGTTTAAAGGAATACTATAGGCATCCAAATGAGTTTAGCTTCATAGAGCAGTTTTGGTGTATATATCATGTCCCAGCAGTCTCACTGCTCAGTTGTCTGCCATTTAAAAGTTAAATTACTTTTGTTTCTGGCTGTGAATCAAGCAGCTGGCATGAACAAATGGTTTTATTTTCAGATCTTAATTTACCTTAGATGTTTTGATTTCCACCTCTTTAACTTGAACTTTAATCTTACAGAAGATGCACCTGTAGGCTCTGGCTATTTCATTAAACTTATGTTGTTTTGGTCCCTGGATCATCTCTTTAAACTGCTAATTTGTCGCAAGGATTTACTGTCACCAAAACTGAGGTCACTGCAGTATAATTGCTAATGTAGTTGAGTTGGAAAATTCATCCAGTTCAGCTAGTTCTGCATAAGTTTTGCATTTGTTCATCATACAATCTTTTTTCTTTGAATTTATTTTCATAGAAATTTGTGCATAATCATAAAATAACCATAATGACGTAGCCACAAATTTCATGAATGAAAGGAATATTGAAAGAAAACCATAGCACTGGGACTGATGATTTTAAAGACTTTTACTTTACAAAATTAATGTATGTAACAATGTTTATAGTATGGGAATTAAAGAGAATTAAAATGTGAAAGTGTCTGCCTAGAGTAGGGAAGGCTAATCTTGGCACACCAGATTATTGTGAACTAGACTTCTCATGATGATTGGTCAACCTTGCCGAGAATCATGGAAATTATAGCTAAATGATCTGTGAAGATGGCCAATGGCCTTTATGAGCTTTTGACGCTTTCTCAGGTCTACTGATTGACATGGTTAGTCCTGTCATGCAATAGGAGAAACATAATAGAATGCCTTACATAATAAAGTGAAAATTCAGACAAATTTGGATTTTTTAAAACTTATTCTCTTATTGTAAGATCATTTAAGTAGAGCCCTTTTCACCTCTTCTACTGCCAAATTGTCTCACAGTTACTTGTTGCCATATATTCCTATTGTATAACTGTAAAACACTGTGGTATATGCTACCACTATATAAATATTAATACAAATAATTGCTATATAAATGTTTGCTCAATAAATCT